TGCGCGAGGAGATGGTCCGGCAGTGCCGGGCCCTGGAGGAGATCGCCGCCCGCAAACGTGGGCGCGAGGACGAGGACGGTGTCGTCGTCCTCGATAGCGACAACGACGACGCCCCCGGACCGTCCAACCCGCCGCGCCTACCGGGGGAGGGATGCAGCAGGGACGGCGGAGGCGTAGGCGGGGGCGACGACGACGACGACGACGGTGACTACACGCGGTTCTACAGCCTCCTCGGCATGTAGAACCGCGTGGGCGGCGACGACGACGACGACGACGACGGTGACTACACGCGGTTCTATAGCCTCCTCGGCATGTAGAACCGCGTGGGTGACGACGACGACGACGACGAAGGCTGTGACTACACGCGGTTCTACAGCCTCCTCGGCATGTAGAACCGCGTGGGCGGGCGGCGAGGCGGGCGGCGAGGGAGACAGCGGGGGTAGCCCGCGGTAGTTTTTTTCTTTTTTTTGTAAAATATGTTTAAATTTGAACGAACTCGCCCGTGTTTGCGTTGTGTTTGTGCCGAATTTGAACATTTTAAAAACCCGTGGGGACCGCGACAGGGGGACATCACGCCCCCAGTGCGCGGTTTAGCGCCGGTGCGCCCCCAGGGGGCGATTTTTTGCCGCTCCTGGGGGGCCAACGGCTGGAGATGCCCTAAGTTGCTACTCATCCTTCCTCCGTCCATCCCTCATGCACTCAACTGATTCTTTCTACTCTTTGTGGCTACTAGGGTGATAGATAACCATCGTTTTTAGCGAAAATCACAAAAGACCACTACCTCCACGGCAGGCAAGCGAGCAACAAATCACACCGATTCACAGGTTAGCTCGCAGAAACGGTAAAAACTGATCGGCGGGACCCACTTGTCAAGCCAACATGGCTAATCCATATATACACTTTGCTGAGGTGGATCGTGGGTCCCACATGTTATCCACCCACCTTGTTTTCCCTCTCTTCTCCTTCCAGTCCATCCGTCCTCCTCTCTCTCTCGCTCGCTCCGGCGACTTCAGTTACTAGGTCATGTCACCGCCAAGAGCAGCACCCATGAGATCCAGATCGTAGCCCTGCCATCCCGAGGATGACAACGAGATAGCCATCCTCCGCGCGCTGGCTCGATGGCGAGATCCGGCTGGGCCTGAAGCAACCCATCTATGTCGTGCACGCTCTACCCGGAGGCCTTGTTGCCCGGGTTTCCCACCAAGGTGCGCGTCGTCGTTAGGTTGCTATCCGGGGACCTGCACCCTCCTCGGATAGGGTATGGAGCCGATCCGATTCGGGGGATCCCTTCCCGTCCCATTTCGAGCCTCCTTGACCTCGCTCAGGTGGCCGCGGTGACCGACGCTCTTCATGGCGCCATCGACTAGGGGGGCTGCTCGATCCCCTCTCTTGTGGAGCGCCGAGCCGATCTCCTCGGCCCCTGCTCTCGTGGAGCGTTTAGCCGACGCCTCCGACTCCGACTCCAGCGGCGGCAACTACGATGACGAGGAGAGTGGCCATCATAGGTACCCACGGATCCGGTCGCTGGAAATAGAGGATGGTCGTCTCTTCTTGCCCGGCTCGACTGCCTCGCCACATCATCTCGACAGATGGGTCCCGCATGTCAGTTCTGCTGTTAGACACAACTTATTTTTGAATCAGTGTGTTTTTGTTACTCGCTTGATACTGAGTTGATGGTCTTTTTGTGATTTTCGACAAAAACAGTGATAACTCGTTACCCTAGCCACAGATGTGATTGGCTTTCATCAATTGACTCCATTTCACACAGCCGAGCAAAGCAACAAGGTGGTTGCTCGTGGCGGGCTACAGTGTAGAGAAAGCAGAGGATGATCAGTTGGTGGGACCCACACGAAACCAAACACGTTCCTTTTCTATCATTCTTTTTTCCTTTTTCTTTAGCTGGCCGCTTGCTCCATTTTAGTATTAATTAAGCAATCGCCGTCCGTCCAGAACAGAAGAGAGCACGGCTGTATAAATAAGCTCCTCCGTCCACCCCCGACTCCAATCTTCATCCACACCTTGAATCAAATCCATCCCTACACCAATACAGACTTCAACCCAATCCAATAGACCGATACCTCCTTGAGACTTGAGATAGACCACCCGCAGCTCGAATCGACTCGGCAATGAAGAGCAGGAGGCAGAGCGGCCGCGCCGGTGGCCTGGCCGTGGACACCACAAGCAGCGGCTGCGGCGGCGGCGTCGTAGGGGGAGGGGGCTGCAGCGGCAGCAAGATGGAGCGCAAGGACGTGGAGAAGAACCGGCGGCTGCACATGAAGGGCCTCTGCCTCAAGCTCTCCTCCCTCGTCCCGCCCTCCTCCACACACCACCTCCGCCACTATTCTTCTACTTGTTCCTCGCCGCCGTCCAGCAACAAGGTACGCGCGTAAAAAACTATTCATCTCCTGTTGATTCACCAGCACCAGCAAAAGGCAGATCGATTAGCGCAACTCATGCCGCTGTCACACTGTTACCGAGCACTAGTAACATATACTACTATGTAGTACACAGTTGAGAATACCGTATTTTTACACAAAAGAAAGGCGTCACTGTTGCTCATAGCTGCCTGTACACATAATATACTAGACCTGTTTTCTTTCTGAAAACAAATACGTACACACATATCTACTCCGGACTAATACATATGTACACATAATATACTGTATTTGTTTCTGAAAACAAATACATACGTACACACATAAGTCCACTCAAGATGAATTATTGTGCTCTCAAATTGGTTGGTGGTGGCGACGTGCACACCAAACGTGCTACTAGTATAACTCCACCAAGATTTTTATTTCCACACGCGGCAGATTCATTGATTCGCTCATCAGATTCAGACAGCGATTTCATCAGTCTACTATACTACAACTAGTACCACTCACTCATTCACCCACCTACACAAGATTGCAGGCAGATCACTCCTCTGAAATCTGAATCGAGGCACATGCCTTTTGTCAGACAAAATCTGATTTCTCTTTTGTACCAATCAGTGGATCATTTCTTTATTTTACCACTACTAGCTAGTAGCCACTAGAAAGGACAAGATTGTTTGTGTGTGTGTGCAAAACTGCAAATCAGTGGATCAATCACACCATCTGACGACGATGGCTTTGGTTGTGTCTGTGCAGGACGCGGCGACGCAGCTGGATCAGCTGGACAGCGCGGCGGCCTACATCAAGCAGCTCCGGGCCCGGATCGACCACCTCAAGCGCCGCAAGCAGGCCGCCCTCACCGGCGGCTGCTCATCCTCCGTCTCCGCGGGCGACTACAAGGGAGTTCCTTCAACTTCAACGGCGCTGCCGGTGATCGAGGTGCGGTGCCAGGACGGGTCGGCGCTGGACGTGGCGCTGGCAAGCGAGGCCGGGCGCCCCTTCCGGCTGCACGAGGTGATCGCGGTGCTGGAGCAGGAGGGCGCGGAGGTGGTCAGCGCCAGCTTCTCCGTCGTCGGCGACAAGATCTTCTACACGGTCCACTCCCAGGCGCTGTGCCCCCGCATCGGCCTCGACGCCGGCCGGGTCGCCCAGAGGCTCCGCGGCCTCGCCGCGGCCGCAGCCACCGTCTCGACGCTGCTGACATGCTGATCTCTCCATGTCGTCTATCTATCTTTTTTGCCATGGCGACCGAACCGCCTGAGCCTGACTGGCCGGAGGCTAGCTGATGCAAGGATAGGATGATGGATGGAGGCTAGCTGGTAGATCGATTAATTTGCAGCTGTGCTGCGGGTAGTTGATCTTTTTTTCATCGGTCGGATCGGGGCAGCAATGTTGTATGTGACGATGCTTGTTTCAGCTTAACCAAGATTTCTCTCCTTGTACGTACTACGTAGTGTTGTTGCTGGCTGGGTTAGGCTTAGTGGTAGATAAGGTTGGTTGGCTAATGGCTCCTCTCTCTTCCGCTTGTGAATGAGTACAGCTTCAGGTTTGTCCGAAATTCAGCTTTTGACGTCCTCTTTCTTCCACAAGTTGTGTTGTTGAGCTTCCACAAGTCGGTGTACCGTTCATGACGGACGAAAACCGCCCGAAGCAGTGTGAGGGACGAAAACTCTCCAGTTTTGATAGTTGAGGGACAAAAACTATCTGGTTTTGAGTTGAAGGATGATTTCTAAATTCTCGAAAGAGTTTGAGGACGAAAAATATACTTATCCCCCTTGAGAAACTGAATGATATGAATATAAATATGAATATGAATGATTGGTTCACTGCAGTATAAGTAGTTCCTTCAAAGATTGGCTCTGACCTTGAAATAAAAGAGGCGCAGCATTAGAAAATCAGTGAGGGGAGGGGATCGATTCCCTCCCCACGAATCCTGCCGAAGCTCCGCACAGCATCTTGTATGTCCGGCCGTGTGTAGGAAGCTTTGTCATCCTGATGCTCACCAAACAAATTTGGTAAAAAGTAATCTCTTTGCTTCCGGTCACAAGGATGCTCTATCTGCTTCTTTTTTCCATACTGTCTGATTGGCCAGCAAAGCAAAGCAAAGCAGCTAGCCAAAGCCGCGTCGCTTTACAACACGTGTGTAGGGCTTTTCTTTCTTTTCTTTTCTCCATGGATAGGATTGTTAGAATAGTTGTATAGGGATAGGACTTGTTATTTAAACTTGAACTTCATCTCTATCTCTTCTTCTCTCTCTCTTCCGTAGCTTTCCTCTCGTGACTTATGTAACGATCGCTCCGAGGCTTATGACATATATATACAGATGCGGCCCGAGACAAAGGGTTCAACGCTTTCCAATCTATTTTACATGGTATCAGAACCTCTTCCTCATAGATCAAAGATCGCCTCTAGCTACCTCCCGAAAAGCGCATCAAGCCTCCTCTCGACCGAGAACGTGTCCACCACCGCCGCCGCATCACTGTCCGACACCGCGGGCGCGCTCACCACCACCTCGCCTTCCGCCTTCGCATCATCCTCATCCAGCATCACCGCGGGGTCTCTCAGATCACCACCATAGGAGAAGCTCACCAGGGGAAACTTCCTCTTATGGAAGGTCATTATGCTGCCTCAGATCAAAGGCGCTCAGATGGAACACCACCTCGACGGGAAGAGCCCGCCACCGCCGGCCACCCTCACCATTACCAAGGACGCCAAGGAGGAACAGATCCTCAACTATGCCCGATCCCTCTGGTATGCACAACAGCAGCAGCTACAAGGGTACCTGATGGGATCTCTCCCCCGCGATATCCTCGTACAGGTCGCGACGTTGCAGACGCCGGCCGAAGTTTGGAGCGCCATCCACGCCATGTTTGCCGCCCAGAGCCAAGCACAAGCCATCAACACCCACATCGAGCTCACCAATCTAGAAAAAGGTAACATGACCATGGCTGAATATCTTGGCAGGATCAAAAGTCTCACCGATGAAGTCGCGTGCACCGCCGCGGCCCTCTCCGATCCGGAAATCGTCTCCAAGATCCTCGCTGGTTTGGACATGGAGTACAATCTGGTCGTTTCCGCACTTGCTGCTCGTGTGGAACCCATCACCGTCCAGGAGCTGTACAGCCAGTTACTGAGCTTCGACGCGCGCCTCACCCTTCTTCATGGCGGCGACCTACGGCAGTCCTCGGCCAACTCTGCTGCTCGTGGTCGCGGCCGTGGGCGCGGTCGCCAGGGGCAGAACCGTGGCGGCGGCCGCGGACGCAGCGCTCCTCAGGGCGACGGCGCTCGCTCTGGTGGGGGCTACGGCTACAACAATGGAGGCAGCTACAACAACTCCAACAGCAGCGGCGGCAGCGACGGCTTCAACTCCAACAATAACTGTCGTTCTGCCGCTCCACGTCCTCGTCCCCGATGCCAGCTCTGCAAGAAATCCGGCCATGAGGTCATGGATTGCTCGCACCGCTACGATGAGAATTTTGTCCCTAACGCTCGCCATGTTGCTGCTGCCATGCGCGAACAAGCAGGAGAAGGCGTTTGGTACGTTGATTCTGGCGCCACCGATCATGTCACCAATGAACTAGAGCAACTTGCTCTTCGCGAGAGGTACCATGGCGCTGATTAGATCCATACTGCAAGTGGAGGAGGTATGGACATTTGCCACATTGGTCAAGCTTCAATTAATTCCCCTAACCTTAAACGTGATATCATTCTTAAGGATGTCCTTCATGTCCCACAAGCTGATAAAAATCTTGCATCCATGTCTCGTCTAGCCACCGATAATAATGTCTTCTTTGAAACTCACCCTCGTTATTTTTTCATCAAGGATCGGGCAACGAGGGAACTTCTCCATCACGGTAGATGCATTGGGGGTCTCTACCCCATCACATCCGGAGCACTTAGTCGCCGGTGTCGTCGAGTCTACTCCGTCATCAAACCCTCTCTGGAAAGGTGGCATCAACGATTAGGACATCCATCTTCATTTATAGTAAACCAAGTAGTTAATAAAGACAAACTTCCTTTGTCACAAAGTTCCATTAGTGAGTCTATTTGTGAAGCTTGTCAGTGTGCCAAGAGTCACCAGCTTCCGTATCCCAAGTCTTATAGTGTTTCTCATGCTCCTTTAGAGCTTATTTTTAGTGATGTATGGGGCCATGCCCGAGATTCTTTTGGAAGAAAAAAATATTATGTGAGTTTCATTGATGACTACAGCAAGTTTACTTGGATCTATCTACTCAAGTATAAATCTGAAGTTTTTTCTATCTTTCAAGAATTCCATAAACTCGTTGAAAGACAATTTGACAGAAAAATTCTTTCAGTCCAAAGTGACTGGGGAGGGGAGTATGAAAAACTCAACTCTTTCTTCCGAAGCATTGGCATTACTCATCATGTGTCATGTCCTCACGCACATCAACAGAATGGCTCTGCTGAGCGCAAACATCGCCACATAGTTGAAGTTGGCCTCTCCCTTCTAGCTCATGCTTCCATGCCTCTCAAATATTGGGATGAAGCGTTTATTGCCGCCACTTATCTTATCAATAGGCTTCCTAGCAAAGTCATGGCAACTCTACTCCATTAGAGCGCCTGTACCATCAAAAACCTGATTACAACTATCTTAGAATTTTTGGGTGTGCTTGCTATCCCAATTTGCATCCATATAACCATCATAAGCTTGAGTTCCGATCCACTCAGTGTGTTTTCCTAGGTTATAGCAATCTTCATAAAGGGTATAAGTGTCTTGAAATTGCTACCGGACGCATCTATATTTCTCGTGATGTTGTTTTTGATGAGACACTCTTTCCTTTTGCCAAACTTCATCCTAATGCGGGAGCTTTACTTCGTGCTGAAATTGCACTTTTATCTGATTCTGATGCACCTTCTGATCACGGGGGAGAATTAACTGATCTTGATCATGTGCAAAAATCCATAGGAAATTCTGATTCTGTTGCAATTTCTACTAACTCAAACTGTGATTTCATGTGTGAGGAAACAAACAAGGGCGGCGTGGAACATGAAGCAGATCTGGCTGACAACACACGATCCCAGGCGGATCCACGCGCTCAGCCTGCCGCTGTCAGCGCGCGATCCCAGGGCGATCCGCTCGTGGGCCTGGACTCGCGTGGGCAGGCGGCCGACCGTGCGGCCAGGGTGGAGCCCACTCGTCCGGACGCGTCGCCTCGTGCAACGTCCCCGCGCATCGAGCCACCCGCCAGCCCATGTGAGGGAAGGGGCGAATCCCCTGTCGCCGCGTCACCGCGGGCCTCTTCAACATCCGACCATGGGCGCGTGCCTGGCCCCACAGTGGCCAGCCACGGCTGCGCGCCTGGGTCCCCGACCGGCAGGGCGTCAGATTCCGCCTCGGATCAGGAGCCAACGGATTCGCTCCCTGTCTTGGATAGAGAACCGGTCGGATCTTCTGTGGCCAATACAGCTTCACCAGGATCGCATGTACCACCGTCCACAACGGCTGTTCCTATGTCTTCTACAACTTCCCTTCGGCAAACAAGGTCCCGGTCAGGTATTGTCAAAGAAAAACAGTACAATGATGGCACTATAAGGTATGACAAAGTTAAACGAGCTTTTCTTACCACTACCGGTGAACCAATTCATTTGCATGATGCCCTTGCTAATAAGGATTGGAAGGAAGCTATGGACAATGAATATGATGCTCTTATGAAAAATAAAACTTGGCACTTGGTACCACCAAAACATGGAGACAATATTATTGATTGCAAGTGGGTATACAAGATAAAAAGAAAATCTGATGGAAGCATAGACAGGTATAAAGCTCGATTAGTTGCCAAAGGCTTTAAGCAAAGGTTTGGAATTGATTATGAAGATACCTTTAGCCCTGTTGTTAAGTCTGCCACTATTCTACTTGTTCTGTCTATTGCTATTTCCAGAGGTTGAAGCTTAAGACAGCTAGATGTTCAGAACACATTTCTTCATGGTGTTCTTGAGGAAGAAGTGTTCATGAGGCAACCACCAGGCTATGAGGATCACAGCACACCACAGTATGTCTGTAAGTTGGATAAAGCATTATATGGCTTGAAACAAGCACAAGAGCTTGGTATTCCAGATTGAGCATGCAGTTGCAACACCTTGGGTTCATACCATCCAAGGCAGATACCTCATTGTTCTTCTTTAGAAAAGGCAATGTTACTATTTTGTACTTGTTTATGTTGATGATATAATTGTTGCTAGTTCAAGTG